GAATTAGTGAACATCAAATGAATGAACATCTCCAATTTTCAATTAAATAATAATTGACCTCCACTTGATTTAAATGGACCAGCAAGAAATGTTGGGATTAACTTTAAAACTTGCAAATAAATTAAAAAGACCCTTGAATGCTCAACAACAGGAAAAAAGAAGGATCTTCATCGGTTACATGGTATCAATCAAACTAATTCTGACAAAGAGAAAGAGGAGGCTCATGTGTGGAAGGTAGCATGAGTCAATTCTTTTGAAGACGACGAAACTACATATGTTTATGCATTTGTCCAACTCATGGGGGATATAAAAGGCAAGAGGAAACAATGACAGCATTAGATTAATGGACATATTAATGCACAATTAATCGCAATACACAACCACGCGGACACACACAAATGGTCCTATGGTAACACTTCAAAGTATAAATATGGTTGTCCTGAATCATCAACATTACTTTGTTTTAAACCCAAAAACAACAGAGGAAGACATGCATGCTTGAAGCATTGTAATGGTTGACCTATTTCTTATTTGGACTGGACATATCCATATGTATCTTAGATTGGGCTAGGATGAAGCGGCCAGTCAAATATCTTCATTTGGGCTGGGATGCCAAACTAATGGATAAACCTATTGGGTCAAATCCCTTATTTGTGTCATTTACGTTATTATTATTATTATTATTTTAATCAACACCCTTTATAATTTTTACTTTTCGATTAATACTTTTCATAATTTAAAATCTGTTAAAAGAAAAAAAACCCATATCATCAATAAAATCAAGGTGAAAATAGAAGGTTTGATTGTTAATTTTTGAGTTTTTTTTATAGGTTTTAAATTATGAAGGCTGTTCCCAAATTTTTTTAGGGTGTTGATTGTGAAAAAAAATAATCTATATATTGCAAATAGGGATTTTGGCCAAATCTATTTTAAACCAACCTTAACCAGAATTATACTCTGGCCCAAAAAGATCCAGAATGATATACTTCAGCTTCACATTCAATTTGGGCTTTTGTAAGCCCAATATGATGCTTGCAAGTTCTATGCACGCATGAATCTGCTTCAACTGCCTGGTCAATGAACCAAAAGAGTATGAGTCTGGAGGAGACAGAGAGCAGCATGGCTGCACAAGTACTATGTGCAGCATGCAACTTGTGTGTTCTCTCCCTTTTTTTACCAAAAGCTAGTATAAATACATGGCTTCCCTTCTTCAAATCCTCATAAGGATACAGAAACCATTAAGTATAGAGAATTTACAGTTGTATGTAAGAATTGGAGGAAACTAAGTGGATTTACATATACCCATTTGCAATTCCCTTTAGTTTCCTCCAATATCTTATGTCCAACTTCTGAATACAAAAATCATCAAAATGGAGGAGCATTTAATGTTGTACGTAAGGATTGGAGGAAGTTTAAAGTGGATTTACATCTCCCATTAGCAATTCACTTTGATTTCCTTCAATATCTTACCTCCAACTTCTAAATAATCCAAATTGCTACTAAAAGAGGAGGAGAATTTAATGTTGTATTGTATGTAAGAAGTGGAGGAAGTTCAGTGGATTTACATCCCCAAATTGCAATTCCCTTTAAATTCCTCCAATATCTTATGTCCAACTTCTAAATTCAATTTCAACCACATTTCTATTTCCTTCATCTCCTTGAAATCCTCTATTTTTTAAAATTAATTTCATTTTTTACATAAATTACCTGTAGATCTCTAGAGCCCTTACTCATCAATCTCAATGTCTCAAAATTTTACATACGGCATTTAATTTGTTTCAGAATCCCTTTTGGGGATTGGGAATTTTGTCCTCATAGTAATAATCCATATCCTGATTTGGTCGGATATGAAATGAAAAGCAGGACATGGAGCAGTGTCTTCTTCGATATACATACATATATATATATATATATAGGAATTTAGTATTAACTATTCTTCTTTGCCCCTACAATGGTTACATCTGTTACACCATTAGGCCATGAAAAGTGAAAATCCTTGAATCAAAAAATTTTGATGTGTTGCTGATTCACACGTGCTAATTTTCTAAAATTTTATAATTAGGAATATTAGGAGCTGCCATGAGAATGAAATATGAAACAGAGTGTTGGCTAAAAGACAAGCAAATACAGAAGGAAGCTTTCATCTATCATTATCCAAGCAATGGTGGATGGCACCACTACTCACATGCCCATTTGGGTTTCATGCTAATGTGCCATCCCCATCTGATACATCATTAATGCATTCAAAACACACTTTTCTAAATATTATATTAATATAATTAAACTGCAATTTGCACCCCTTTAATTGTACTTTTATTGTTTGGAATGTAGAATGTACTAATCCAATCTGCAATGGCAGGGAATCTATGAACGGGTTTTATTAGATATTCCTATGATTACAAGCTAAAACAAGAAAAAATGAAAAAACTGTTTTTTCATTCCTTTTTTTTTTTTTCAAGGTTGGAGAAGAAATTAAAGTCAAGGAAACAAAATTTGCAGACAATGTATGTAAATATACAGTGATTTTTGGGGGGAGGGGGTGGGGAGGAGGAGATTCCATTTAAGAACGCCAGATTCCACTGATAATGCTGCGGAATCTGTTTTTGGATAATTTCCTGACTATTCTTTTGGCATCAGAGACTTCAGCTTCTGCAAGTTTTTCTATGTTTTTGAGGTACCCAGAAGCTGCAATTTTCCTTCTTCCACTGTTGCAGCTTGTTAATGACATTAGTATAGAGAGCAAGAGCATTTTGTTACCTGAATTTCGCTCCTCTTGATCCAGTAATTGAAGAACAAAGCAGATGTTTCTGTCATCTTGAATGAAGATTTTTCGGTTTTTTGGGACTGAGACCAATGCAGACAGTGCTTCGGTTGCCATATCTCGGACCTCAAATGATCTTGCATCAAGAAATCTAACTAGCTCCGGTATGAATCCGGCCTCCCCCATTGCCT